GTTATTATGTCCCGCGGATGAAGTAAAATTTGATTTCTGTTTCTTATTCAATAGGACAAGGTTATTCTATAAACTCTGAGCATTATGTGCTTTATATTTTAAAGAATAAAGCTCCTATTTGTGCTGGATATTTGATGAATGGTCTTTATATTTTAAATTGTGTCACAAATGAAATAAATGTTTTTTCTACAAACCATGAATGAGTGTCTTACCATACTAGTGATATATATTTATGGCAACTTAGACTTGGACATATTAACCTTAACAGGATACAGAGATTGGCTAGAAATGGTCCACTTAACACACTTAAGGTCGAAACATTGCTAATTTTTTATTCTTATTTGGAGGGTAAAATGACCAAGAGATCTTTTTTGGCAAAAGGACATAGAGCCAAAGAAGTATTGGAACTAGTTCATTCTGATGTATGTGGACCCATGAACATAGAGCCAAAACGAGAGGGCTTATGAGTATTTTATCACTTTTATCAATGACTACTCTAGATTCGGATACATCTACCTAATGACTCGAAAGTCAGATGCTTTTGAAAAAATTAAAGAATATTGGGCTGAGGACGAGAAACATTTAGGTAAGAGTATTAAGACAGTTCGATCAGTTCGAGGTGGTGAATATCTCTCAGGAGAATTTAGAGACTACTTGACAGAAAATGGTATTGTTTCTCATCTGAGTATGCCTAGTATACCCCAATAGAATAGCATTTCAGAAAGAAGAAATAGGGCATTGTTGGACATGGATAGGTCAATGATGAGTTTCACAACTCTAACTACCTCATTTTGGGGATATGCACGAAAACAGTAGCATATGTTCTTAACTTAGTTTCGTCTAAGTCGGTTCCCAAGAGTCTCCTGGAATTATGGAATGGGCGCAAGCCTAGCTTACGCTATATTCGAATTTGGGGATGTCCGGCTCATGTGCTAAAAGGGAAGTCAGAGAAGTTGGAGTCTAGATCAGAGATTTGCCTGTTTGTGGGATACCCTAAAAGTACCAGGGGATATGATTTTTATAGTCCTCTAGATGGGAAAGTCTTTGTTATCACAAATGCTACTTTCCTAGAGGATAAGTATATTAATGAACATCAGTCCAAAAGCAAGGTTGTGTTGGAAGAAATGAGTGGAAGCAATTCCACCCCATCAATTCCTGAAACACAATCTCGTGACGGGCAACCCTTGGTGTCAGAAATACCTAAACAATGTGTTTTGTGTGGGAGAGATGAGTCATCCAATCCCATGAATCAAGTAAACGTTGAAGGTATTGAAAAGGTAATGGAACCACCTAATAGTGATACCAACATTGATACAAGCGTTACAATTCCAAACGATGCCACAGTCCAGGATCCACCGCCCCTTAGACAAAGTTAGAGGTTATCGACCACCTTCTAGGTATTTGTTAGTTGGAGAGTCCAATCAGGCGATCTCCATATAACACGTTGATGACCCGACTTCATAAAAGGAGGCTATAAATGATGTGAATGCAGATTTATGTGTTGAATACTGAAATGGAATCTATGCATTCCAATCAGGTCTGGGAACTTGTAGATGCACCAGAAGGGATAAAACTCATCGGGTGCAAGTGGGTCTATAAGAGAAAGAGAAGAGCATAAGGGAAATTGGAAACTTTCAAAGCAAGACTAGTGGCTAAGGGTTTTACCCAACGAGAAGGTATCGATTACGATGAGACCTTTTCGCCTATGACTATGCTTAAGTTTATCCGGATTCTTTTATCCATTGCAGATCATTTTGATTATGAGGTGTGGCAAATGGATGTCAAGGTCATCTTGAGGAATGTATCGATATGATACAACTAGACGAATTCATAGAATATGTTCATGAAGGCAAAGTTTGCAAGCTTTAGCGATCCATTTATGGGTTGAAGCAAGCATCAAGATCTTGGAACAAAAGATTCGACTAAGTGATTAAGACATATGATTTTGATCAAAACTTTGACTATGTCTATAAAAAAACACAAGAGAAAATTATAATCTTTCTCATGCTTTATGTGGATGATATTCTACTCATTTGAAATGATGTAGGAGCATTATCATCTATGAAAGCGTGGTTGGCCCAACAGTTTTATATGAAGGACTTAGAAGAAGCTAGCTACGTTTTAGGTATTCAGATCTTAAGAGATCGAAAGAACAAGCAGATGCTCTATCCCAAGCTTCATATATTGATAAAATACTTGTCAGATTTGTCATGCAAGATTCCAAGAAAGGTAATTTATCTTTTAGACATGGAATCCAACTCTCTATGGATCAGTCTCCTAAGACTCCTGAAGAGGTAGAACGCATAAGTAGGATACCTTATGCATCGGCAGTTGGTAGTCTCATGTATGCTATGCTGTGTACTAGAGCTGATATTTGTTATGTTGTTGGTATGGTGAGTCGATATCAATCTAACCCTGGATCGGAACACTGGGTGGCTGTAAAGCATATCCTAAAGTATCTTTTCAAGGGACAATGAATTATATGCTAATTTACTCATAACCAGATCATGTTCCAGTGGGTTATACAGATTAAGTCTTCTAGATTGATAAGGACTCTCGTAAGTCTATATCAAGATTACTGTTTACACTTGGTGGTGGGGCCATTATTTGGAGAAGTATCAAGAAATCATGTATTATTGATTTCACCATGGAAGCTGAGTATATAGCAGCTTGTGAAGTCGCTAAGGAAGCGATATGACTAAAAAAATTTCTAACGATTATCGAGGTGGTGTCTACATCTGCACAGCCCTTGACACTATACTGTGATAAGAGTGGGGCAATGAAAAATGCTAAAGAACCAAGGAGTTATCAGAGGGGTAAAAATATTGAACGAAAATATCATCTCTTGAGAGAGATAGTTAATAGATGAGATGTGATTGTCAGTAAAATTGTTACTGTGGATAACCTTACGGATCCATCTACCAAAAGCCTATCAGCTAAGGTTTTCAATGGACATGTACAAAGCATGGGGTTACCAGACATGACACATATACCCTAGGGCAAGTGAGAGATTTGTTGGGTTGTGTGTCCATATAGTATAGTTTTGTTGATGTAAAAATCACAATATTTTTTTATAGTAAATTAAATTATGTTTACTCTATTTATTGCATTTGTTTATTGAGCATGTGAAATTAAAGTGCCTGTGATAACTTGTGATAATATGAGTTGGGTACCTGCGTTGAGAAGTACAATGTGACATAATCTATATTTTGATTATAAATAATTTGTTCACAATTTATGTATAAGGGTTGACATCTTGTATGAAAGGTTGTAGTGTTGACCAATTCACTAATTGAATTTGTGATTTGTCCTTATCGCAGAAATAGTAAAAGGTGACATTAGTACACTTGGAGTGTATTGAACAGACCGCGTGTCGAATTTAATTCTATAGCATGATCATGCGGATAATTAAATTCCACTCGACTGCTGTATATTTCATCTAAATCCCTAGACAGGATTATGTATATCTTTTCACGATTTTAATTTTTCTTTGATTTATCAATGGGTGAGATCAATTCAATTGATCAAATATCTCAGTGAGTTAGGAACTTGAGAATGAGCGAAGTAGATAATATGAATTCGTGTCGGGAACTGTCACCCTAAAAAATGGGTAGAGTGACTGCTTAAATATTTTCTGTTGAACGGTTTAAATCTAAGCTTAGTGCTTAGTGACGGCTAAATTTCGACATCCGTGATTTGTTCACAGGACCGTTGAAAAAAATGAAACTTAAGTAGTGAGAATAATTTGAGGGGCAAAACGATCATTTATGCTCATAGATAATTATCGAATTTTGAACGGGGATAAAATACATATTCGGCAGATTAGAGAAAAGTATTACAGATTTATTGGTTTCTAAGATCTTATATATATTCCAAGAGTTCTTTTTTTTGCCTTTGTGGAAAAAACAATGACTAATAATAAGATTGGGTGGTTTAGGGTCGACTAGACAGGATCTAATTATGGGAACTTGGATAATATATGTCCGATCAGGTCCTGTGATAGCTCCATAGAGTACTGGAACTTAATAACGGCAATTATAATAGTTTTGGACTTAACTGTAATTACAATAAAGTTTTGTACTTGGTTGTAATTACTATGAAAGTTATAAACTTAATTGTATTTGTAATTGTAATTGAAGTTCTAAGACTACACATGCAATTAAATGTAAACTAATTAGAATTGGACTTAAATTAAAACTCCTACTTGGGTTTTAATTAGGACTCTTGTTTGAATGTGGAATTATAATTGTACTAAAATTTTATCATCTTTTTCTCTATAAATAAAGACTAGATGGACAAAAAAATACTACAACATTCATAATTCATAATTTCAAAGAATTCAAAATTAGAGACAGAAAGAGAGAGAATTTTTATTTTCTTGCTTTCTAATTGTCCAATTCAAAAATTAGTTTCTAGATTAATTAAAAAAAAAGGTGGCCACACGGTGATATAGTTTTTGTGTTGGAGAATATCATAGAAGGTTTGAAGGTTTGAAACACCAAAATTCTTGTAATTAAAGGAGCCGGAAGTTCGCCGTTCAGAATCAATTCAAGGTTGATCATCAAGCTTAGGTAAAAGATTAAAATTCTTTAATTATGTTATAACATACACGCGAACATCTAGACGATCATATTTATTGAATTAAAGAAAATTTTTAATTTCTGGTTAATTTCGCTTCCGCATTCCAATACAACCAAGTTTGCCAAATCTAAAAATGAAAAATAAAGAACAGAAATAGGTGATGCGTATGAGTTCCCTCTCTTCAGTGGCAGCCCATGTACTATTTGTTATGTTTCCATACCTCATTGTCTATAGCAAAAATTTGTCATTCATTCTGTCTGTATGTGGCCAACATCCCCTGCACTAATTAAGAATCGAAGGATGAATGTCTCCATCTCTTACAATCTCAGCATTCTTTTACTGAACTAAATTATATTTCAAGTCAATAATAAACGGTATTATGTCTTCTTCCAAAGTTCGTCCTTTTTTAATCTGCAATGACCTATAAATTTTGGCATTTTCCTGGACTGGCAGAGTGTCGGAGCTGATGTGAGCCAGCAACTATTTAAGGGCTTTGCAACAACAGAAGCTGTGAGGAAGGGCCACCTTGAGATCCTAGAGATCTTAGTTAAGGATGGGGCCTCTCAGCCAGCTTGTGAGGAAGCCTTGTTAGAGGCAAGCTTCCATGGGCAAGAAAAATTTGTAGAGATGCTTATGGGATCTGATCTTATTCGACTTCATATTTCCATTCATGCTCTCATCATTGCGTCCTGTAGAGGTTTTGTGGACTTGTTAGATGCTCTCTTGAAGGTAAAAGTTTATTCCAGGTGGCCCATGTAAACTGTTGCATGGATTGCTTGTTATTGATGACCGATGCAACTTGATCAATTATTTACTTTAGGAAAACATAAAAACGATATATTTACAGCAACAATGAACTTAGCTCTGATCCTAATAAATTTGGAGCTGGCCGAATAAATAATTTTGCGCCGTGTTCAATTCACCGTTAAATCTAACAAGATATCCAGTAAAATTTAATCTCTGCCATATCAAACCGCTTCAATTTGGTCTACCTATTTCGCTTTGAACATGTTCCACTAGAATTGCCCCGTTCTAGTAATTAGAGTACAATGAAAAAAGAGCTGCATAGCTAAGATTGACTAATTGGTTAGTTTAAGTATGCAGCGCCAAATTGGCTATTGATTTTTGCCTTTTATTTGTCTAATACCAGGCTGATCTATATATGGCTAACTTCTGATACTTGGCCGTGGGTGTTTATTTATGTTCTCATAGAGCACAATTTTTGTTATATTGATCTAATTGCTACGTAACGGCAGTGTAAAGTGGATTGAAAATGTAGAACCCCAAATAATTTTAAACACCTTAGTGGCAGTAAGACGTGAATATTGGATGACTAAAGTAAACTTCAGATTTTTTGATGTGATCCGGCTTGCGCCTCGAATTATGAAATAATTGATGTATGCTGGCGAGAGATCGAAACCAATATTTGAGCTCAATTTGGGGCCAAAAGGAGTTAATAAAGTTGGAAAAAAGAAGCTCAAGATGGTGAATTCAATTACACCTATTTTACTATGAAATTAGAGAGTTAAAAGGGTTTGAAATTGGAATCATTTCAAGGCTGGGAATGGGAGACAAAATATGGTGGATCAGTTGTGTTAGCCAATGGAAGAGGAAGCAAAGGCAAGCTGGAACACGTGAACTCAAAAATTGGTCAGATTGTCTGCAAGCTATGCGACTGCAACTCGTAAATCCTATGTGATCGCAAACACAATCCCAGGGAATTTAATGGTCGGAACCTACGTAACTATGCGACCGCATGTCCTTCAACTATGCGGTCGCAAGGCAGTGAAACAAGGCAGCATCCCAGATTTTAAGTGCAAGTTACCAATTTTGAGTGAAACTCTATCTTCAGCTGGTGCATTGGGATCCGTTAGTTATTGTTTCCTTTTAGAATAATATATCTTCAATAATTTTATTCCTTCTTCCCATATTTTAGGTGATATTTTTTGCTATTTAAAATTGCTATTTTCCTTTTTATTAGTTTTTAGGGTTTTAGTATAAATAGGATTATTTCATTGCATTTCGAATAAGTTTGATTATGAATTAATGAGAGATTTTCCTCTTCGAAGCTTTGCTTCAAATTTATCTTGTTCATTAAATTGAATGGGACGAACATATCAAGACTAATCATCTTGTGGCGTTCAAAATATCGGATTGAATCATTGAATTGTGTAATCAAGGGGTCTTTTGTGTTAACGTTACCGTTGAGTTTTTTGGTTCATCTTTTATAGGTTCAAATCCACAATCCGGGTGTGATTTCTTCAATCGTGTGATCAAGAGGTCCTTCAAGCAACATTCTTTTTGGGTTGCTCGGTTCACTATTTTGGGGTTAGATCCACAAATCTTGGTCATATTGGCGCTCTTGGGATCCGATTCAATATCCTATGGGTTCGATTGCAACCTTACTGATCAGGTTCGCATCATTTTTAGTCTCATTTGAGACCCATTTACGACATAGAAAACAGATTTTCACCTATAAATAAGCCCCAATGCATACACATTTTTCACAACAAAACAAAAGCTTCTAATCATAAAAGAGAGGATTTTCAAGTCTAGAAAAAAGAGAAATGAGAGGGAGGAAAATTAGTTTTTCCTAGAAGTTTTGGTGCTATCAAGAAGTGTTTTCCAAGCATCAATTCTAAACGGAGTGTTTTTTTTTTTTAAATCAAAGGAGTGCATTTTTCAATAAGGTTCAAAACATCAATCAAGGTAGGTAGAGGTGCAAAGTGTTAATTCGTGTTAAGTTATAAGTTTATAGCAAATGAAGATTTATGTTAATGTTTGTATGTCTAATGGTACCTTCGGTACGGTATACACCTCCATGTCTAATGGTACCTTCAAGTACGGCATGTACTTCTGGTCGAGGCGTCATGTTAAGCCATGACTTTATGTGTTTGGGATTCTACCAGAAATCCCACTATGAAAAGGTTTCTAAAGTTACAGTTTTGAAATGTATAGTTTGATCACGAACGCACCGATGATATCTATTGAGTTTTTTTTAACTCACGGGTTTAACCCCTTCTCTACAGATTGATATGATTTTATCTTGGACTTGGATGATGGAAAAGATGGAGAGTGGTGCAATGAGCCCATGGAAAAATCCGGTGAACCAGTTATTTAGATTTATTTTTGTGAACGTTTTCAATGTTATTTCTTTAAAGTATTTAAATAACGCTGAACGCAAGAACAAGTTGTGTTTTCTTCAAATAAATTATGTTCCGTTATTTTTTTATTCAGTGTTTTATTTAAAGTATTCGAAAGATTGTTGTTAAAATTATCATTGTAAAAATTAAGCTTCCGCTAAAACATATTCTCTTATGACTAAACCACCGGTTAGTTAAGTAAAGTAAGTAGCATTTCGGTCCACAAGGGTTTGGGGCATTACAGCGTGGTATCAGAACACGGTTAAGCCGATTTGTAGACCAAGTATTTTTTTTTTAAAAAAAGGGTTTAGCCGGTTATGTAGACCAAGTATATTTTATTTTTTTTAAAAATGAAAAAGTCTAAGATACTTCATAGCATCTTGCATCCATCCATCAATCTCATCCTACGGCCCAGATATGTTCAAAGTTAATGTTTACATAAAAAGACTATGTTATGATGTTTTACGATGTTATGGTACAACTTATGCTTATTTTCAAAGATATACTATGCCAGTTAGAAATAATTTGAAAGATGTGTTTTTTTAAAGATACGCATTAGGCTAGAATTTACAGGTAGAATGTTATGTAACAGTAGCCATTTTTCCAAGAGTAAAGAAAAAGTGTATGATATGTGAAAATGCAACAGATATGGCTCATAGAACAACTTGGGCATATAGAGGAGCATTGAACCGTAGAATCGCCATTCAGTTCTATGAGAATTACGTGACTGATCTGCTCCGTCCACTTGACGAACATATACATGAAGTCTATGAGAGATGCATGACAGCGGTGAATGCTGGAATGGAGATAACGCATATTGAGGCTATAAATAACCTCATACACTCCCTTCCACCTCAATGGGGAGATATGGGAGTCACGATTAGGGATGTAATGCGAGAGGAGCACCCAAATAAATTTCAGTTTGAAGTGTATTGCCAATCACTCCTAGACCGATGGAGGGAAAACTTAGAACCTCAACCGGAGATAGTAATTGAACTTGATGAAGAAGAAGAGCCTGAAGAAGGGAATGATCCTGAGCCCGAGCCACAGGTTGAGATGGACATAGAATCCGGACCTGAGGCAGAAGACTCCTCTGGAGATGAGGCTCCACCAAAGAAGATTCGTAGAACATATAGGGATTAGATTTAAATCCTTGTGACAACTTCCTTTATGTCAAGAAATAAAACTTTTTCTTTGTTAGAATTCGAAGTATAAAACTAATAAGAGCCATACGTTTTGTCTAAAGGAAAATGGCCCGTGCAAACCAAACCAACTTGATAAGAGATCTCCTCCAAGCGGTCCAAGACCTTGGCAGGCAAAACCCGAACCAGGCGCAACCCCTACCACTAGCTCCTAATGCTCCTCCAACCCATGCTTCAGTGGTCGAGCAATTTAGAAGACACAAGCCCACTACCTTCAATGGAATAGCTGATCCACTTGCAGCCGAGGAGTGGCTTCGCAAGTTGAAGAGAATATTCCGATTAATAGGGTGCACAGATGCCCAGAAGGTCCAGTGTGTTGAGTTTATGTTCTCCGGTAATGCAAGCCACTGGTAGGACTCGATGTCAAGGACGAGGACCCCAGAGCAACAAGCAAAATTGACTTGGGAGCGATTTAAAGAGGAAGTAATGGACAAGTACTTCCCACAGTCTGATGCGAACCCGATCAGCAAGGTTGCAATCGAACCCACAGGATATTGAATCGGATCCCAAGAACGCAAATGTGACCAAGGTTTATGGATCTAACCCCAAAATAGTGAACCAAGCAACCTAACAAGAACGTTGCTTGAGAGACCTCTTGATCACACGATTGAAGAAATCAAACTCGGATTGTGGATTTGAACCAATAAAAGATGAACCAAAAAACCCAACGGTAACGTTGACGCGAAAGACCCCTTGATTACACAATTCAATGATTCAATCCGATATTTTGAACGCCACAAGATGATTAGTCTTGATAAGTTCGCCCCATTCAATTTAGTGAACAAGATAAATTTGAAGCAAAGCTTCAAATAGGAAAATCTCTCATTAATTCATAATCAAACTTATTCCAATGAATTATAAAACTCCTATTTATGCTAAAGAATATAAAACCTAATTTAAAAAGGAATAAACTCCTAAAATATTGTAAAATATGAAATTAGAGTCCTAATAATATTAAAGTTACCAAAAATAAGAAATTGACTCAAAACAAATCTTCTCGCGCGGAAAGGAAATTTTCTGGCCAAAAATCACCTATGCGACCGCGACGTGTATTTAGCTGCGGTCGCATGGCATATGGACTGCTGCCCATGAAATCCCTGCACCCTCTCATGCGGCCGCACGGTGGTTTTAACCATGTGGTCGCATGGTTACTTGGTTTTTGCTCCAAACTCGATTTTCTTCCAACAACTTGACTCAATTGGTTTTCATCCTTCAACCTCAATACAAATTCTGGACTTTGGCTCGTTGACTCCACCATATCGAAATCCATAACTCGACCATGCATTTATGCGGGTTTGTTGGCCCGAACGAAGCTTGAATCTTGTCCTTAGGTTCCCTCCAACATACATCAAATCCTTGGTTGTTTGGCGCCCAAGCCGAATCACATCATCCCCTCTTTCTTGGAAAGGATTCGACCTCGAATCCAAACATTGATCAACCAAATTGTAGCCTTTGCTTCCGATCATTGCAAGCACGTGAAATGGTCCACCGCCTCTTGGATGATACTTGGACCTCTTTTGAATACGAATCCTCCTCTTGCATATAAAAACCCAATCTCTTTCACATAGATCAAAGTGCACTCGTCTCGGCCGCTTCCTTTTGTAAGTTTGAGATGCTCCAAATAGAACTTCAATTGTTAAATCGCCTTGCTTTTTCCTTGTCCCCTCTCGCCTAGGCAATTTTAAAACTGATACTTCGAATGGCTTCATCTTTCCCAGCATTTCACCTTGGCATTTCAAGCCAGTGCATATGAACTCCTTCCATGGCAACTTTTGTAACTCTTCGGGGATCACAAATTCAACTAAGGGCAATAAAGGCATTTCCAAGCTAAGATACGGTTGTTGATTAATTTCTCCCACAATTTGATATCCAATGCCCGGGTTATATGGAATCCCAATTGGCTCGTTGTCATGGACTAAGTCCTCGGTAGCCTACAAAATAGGAATATCTAAAATAGGGAGAGAATTATTAGTTTCTGATAAAGCCTCCTCAACTCTACTCTTATGTTCATCCAAGCTCACTTCCATCACTTCCTTTACCTCCGAAGACCCTACTCCATTTTCCACTTGTAGGTCCACTTCTAATTTAGCCAATTCACCCATTTCACACTCTATTTTCTTTTCACTTTCTTGGGGCTCATCTTCTTTTTTCTCACAATTAACCACCTCACACTTTTCTCTCGAACTCTCTTTTTGTGGAATATTTGTCTCACCCTTTTTTCCTCAATCTACTCTTTGCATTATTTTGTACCGTGCATTGATCCTCATATGCTTGTCGCGGTGTCAACGATACAAGCTTAATATTTCTCCCATCCTTGGTAAAGCTATAGCGATTCATGACTCCATCATACCTCGCCTTCCTATCACACTTCCATGGTCTGCCCAACAAAATGTGACAAGCATGTAATGGAATGACATCACGCAACATTTCATCGTGGTACCTCCCAAGTGAGAAACTTAACTTCACTTGCCTACATACTCTAACCACTCCACATTCATCCAACCACGACAACTTATAAGGTTTTGGATGTACCAACGTTTCCAACTCTAATAATTCCACAACCATATTGCTAACAGAATTAGTGAAACAATCTCCATCAATAATTAAACTACATACCTTGTCTTCAACATTGCATCTAGATTGAAAGATCCTTCCCCATGATTGCTCCACATTATCCAATTTGATTGGTGTATTGATAATATGCTTCAACACACTTGTTTTTCCCACGGCCGGGTTGTCAAGTTCATCAACAATATTTCTTCACCGCTTTTCAATCATATCCATCCTATTTCCCAAATCCATCATCTTCTCAAATCGCCGCATCATCCTTTTCGACATTTTATCTCTCAATTTATTTTCCGCCTCACAAATTTCACTCGAAATCTAGGCTTTTGCCCTCTAATAAGCTCACAACTCCGCCTTTTACCGCTCAAACTTCCTCCAAGGTGCTTCAAGAACAATCAAAAACTCAACCAGGAATTATTCTCGCAGAATTCAAACCAAGTGAGATTTTTTTGACCTTAAAGACTCAAGATAATTTAGGGATAGATTTTTTTTTAATCTGGATGAATAGTACCGGAATGAACAGTAAATTTTTTTAAAAAAAATTGACGTGAACAGTAAAAAAAGAATTTTTTTTAACTCTTTGGATAGGAAAATTAAAGACAAAACTGACGCAACAAACGGAAGTGGATTTGGACACAAATTGAATCCAAAAACAACTTCTGAATTTTTTTTGAAATTTTTTTGGATCAAAGACTCAAAATATTAACTGACTCGAAGAACAGCAAGAAAATGAAAACTGACTCAACAAAGATTTTTAAAAAAAGATATAACCTTGATCTTGGTGCCTAAAGCTTTGATACCGAATGATGCGAACCCGATCAGTAAGGTTGCAATCGAACCCACAGGATATTGAATCGGATCCCAAGAACGCCAATATGACCATGGTTTATGGATCTAATCCCAAAATAGTGAACCAAGCAACCCAACAAGAACGTTGCTTGAAATACCTCTTGATCACACGATTGAAGAAATCACACCCGAATTGTGGATTTGAACCAATAAAAGACGAACCAAAAAAATCAACGGTAACGTTGACGCGAAAGACCCCTTGATTACACAATTCAATGATTCAATCTGATATTTTGAACGCCGCAAGATGATTAGTCTTTATAAGTTCCCCCATTCAATTTAGTGAACAAGATAAATTTGAAGCAAAGCTTCGAAGAGGAAAATCTCTCATTAATTCATAATCAAACTTATTCCAAAGAATCATAAAACTCCTATTTATGCTAAAGAATATAAAACCTAATTTAAAAAGGAATAAACTCCTAAAATATTGTAAAACACGAAATTAGAGTCCTAATAATATTAAAGTTACCAAAAATAAGAAATTGACTCAAAACAAATCTTCTCGCACGAAAAAGGAAATTTTCTGGTCAAAAATCACCTATGCGATCGCGACGTGTATTTAGCTGCGGTCGCATGGCATATGGACTACTGCCCATGAAATCCCTGCACCCTCTCATGCAGCCGCACGGTGGTTTTAACCATGCGGTCGCATGGTTACTTGGTTTTTGCTCCAAACTCGATTTTCTTCCAACAACTTGATTCAATTGGTTTTCATCCTTCAACCTCAATACAAAACCTGGACTTTGGCTCGTTAACTCCACCATATCGAAATCCATAACTTGACCATGCATTTATAAGGGTTAGTTGGCCCGAACGAAGCTTGAATCTTGTCTTTAGGTTCCCTCCAACATACATCAAATCCTTGGTCGTTTGGCGCCCATGCCGAATCACATCATAGTATTTGAGGGATCACAAAGAAAGTGAATTTCTCCAACTCAAGCAAAGGACTAAGTCCCTGACTGAGTATGAAAGGAAGTTTGACCAACTTTCAAGTTATGCTCTACATCTGGTGGATACGGAGGACAAGAATGTCTGGAGGTTTGAATAAGGGTTGAACCCAGATATAAGCATGATACTTATATCCTATCGTTTCACCTCATACCGTGAAATGCTGGAAAGAGCTCATGCTATCTGGTACCAGAAGACTAGCGCTGAGCAATATAGTCAACTGTTCAATCAACTGGACAATGGCTATATGGGTAAAAGGAAATGGAATGGCCAGGACAAGGGAAAGGGAAAGGGCAAGTGGCAGAACAAGAAAGTTAATGGCGGAGCAAATGCCAACAAGAGCATTGTGCCAGTTATAGAGCCATGTCCTAAGTGTGGAAAGACGCATTGTGGCGTGTGTTTGTAAGGGAAGAATGTCTGTTTCAGATGTGGCAAGCTAGGGCATATTTTTAAGGATTGCCCCACATTTACCTCGAAGAAGGATGATAACAATGACCAGAACCAAAAAGGGAAAGCACGAGTTTTTGCAATGACTCAGAAAGATGCAGAGGAAAACTCGAACGTCATAGCAGGTACTTTATTAATAGCCAATACGCCTGCTTATGTATTGTTTGATTCAGGAGCCACACACTCCTTTGGATCGACAACTTTTATGGCTAAATCTAGTATTACCTGTGATAAGTCGAAAGGTACATTAGAGGTTAGCATTCCTTCAGGCAACCCTTTGAGTACTGATAGAATAGTCAAATTAGTAAGTATTGAAGTTGAGGGAAAACCAATGGAAGTGAACCTATACATGATAGAAATGAAGGATTTTGATGTAAAACTAGGCATGGACCACCATCCGATATAAGGAAAGGGAGGTATCATTTCAAGAACCAGGAGAGGAACCATTTTCATTCCTTGGAATGAAGACGAAACCCCTTATTCGACTAGTATCGGCTTTACAAGTTGAGAAGATGTTGAGAAAAGAAACATGTCAAGGATATTTAGTAAACATCTCAGGAGGGAAACAGGAGACGATAAAGGTTGAAGACGTACGAATAGTACGGGAATTCGTAGATTTGTTTTCAGAAGATCTATCTGGTATTCCACCAGATAGGCAAGTGGATTTCGCCATAGACCTAATTCTCGGAGCGGCACCAGTGTCAAAAGCCCCATACCGAATGGCCCCGAAGGAACTACAAGAGTTAAAAAAGAAGTTGCAAGAACTCCTAGATATGGGCTTTATACGGCCAAATATATCTCCATGGGGTGCGCCGGTGTTGTTCGTGAAGAAAAAGGATGGAAGCATGAGGATGTGCATCAATTATAGGGAGTTAAATCGATTAACTATCAAGAATAAGTACCCACTCCCGAGAATCGAGGATCTGTTAGATCAACTGAAATGAGTTAAGGTATTTTCCAAGATCGACTTACGATCGAGATACTATCAATTGAAAGTAAAGTCAAAGGATATACCCAAGACTGCTTTCAGAACTTGTTATGGACACTACGAGTTTACAGTGTTGCCGTTTGGGTTAACCAATGCACCTGCAATGTTCATGGACCTGATGAATCGTGATTTCATCAGTACTTGGATAAATTTGTCATAATCTTCATTGATGACATTCTGATATATTCCAAGAGTAAGGAGCAACATGAAGAGCACCTAAGAATAGCATTAGAGGTATTACGCAAGGAGAAGTTGTATGCCAAATTCAAGAAGAGTGAGTTTTGGCTTGAACGAGTTGGATTTCTTGAACATATAGTCACTGCCCAAGGGATTGAGGTAGATCCAGCGAAAGTGGAAGCAGTAACCAACTGGAAAGCACCAACTAATGCTGGTGAGGAACGGAGCTTTCTAGGATTAGCAGGATATTATCGAAAATTTATAGAAGGATTCTCCAAAATAACTGGACCAATGACGCAGCTTACAAGGAAGGGAGTAAAATTCCAATGGACGAATAAATGTGAACAAAGTTTCCAAGAACTTAAACAGAGGTTGATATCAGCACCCGTGTTAACAATCCCTGAGGGTATGGAAGGGTTTGTTATATACAATGATGCATCCAAGCAAGGATTGGGATGTGTGCTGATGCAGAATGGAAAAGTGATAGCCTATGCATCAAGACAATTGAAGAAATATGAGCAAAACTATCCAACACATGATTTAGAACTTGCGACGGTAGTACACGCCTTGAAAATATGGTGACACTACTTGTATGGAGGGAAGTGCGATATCTACACAGATCACAAGAGTCTCAAATATTTATTCACACAGAAGGAATTGAATATGCGACAAAGATGATGGTTGGAATTGGTAAATGATTACGATTGTACTATTCATTACCATCCAGGTAAGGCTAATGTTGTGTCCGACACCTTAAAGTAGAAAATCGATGGGACAGTTGGCGTCACTACCCACTTTTCAAATGGAGTTAGTCAAGGGCTTGGAAAAGTTGCAGATCGAAGTGGTTACCATACCTGGACAAGTCACTGCTTGTCAATCAGCTTTGATAATTTGACCTACTCTTAGAGATCGTATTATAGAGACATAAGGTAATGACCTATTCTTGTTGAAGATCAAGAATGAAATTGGTACTGATAAAAGAAAGGATTTTGGAATAGCTTCGGATCAGGCACTGATGTTTAAGGGGAGAATTTGTGTGCCTAAGGACAAAACCTTGAGAAACGAGATATTGAAAGAGGCCCATTCCACCCCGCACACCGTACATCCCGGTGGTACGAAAATGTATCGAGACCTTCGAGATATATTTTGGTGGAGAAATATGAAAAGAAGTATGGGGTTGTACGTGGAAAATTGAATGATATGTCAACAAGTTAAGGCAAAACACCAAAAACCGGCTAGATTGTTAAATCCACTGGACATACCCGAATGGAAATGGAAAAATAACATAATGGACTTTGTGGTTGGATTCTCAAAGTCAGCAAGAGGAAACAACGCTGTATGGGTAATAGTGGATCGATTAACAAAGTCAGCTTATTTTTTTCAGTGAAAATGACATTCAGTTTAGACCAATTGACACAGTTGTTCATTGAGGTTGTGAGATTACACGGCATACCTGTGTCCACTGTGTCTGATAGAGACCCAAGGTTCACGTCCAAATTTTGGAAAAGTCTATAAGGAGCTATGGGAACGAAACTGAACTTTAGTGCAGCATATCACCCTCAGTCCGATGGTCAATCTGAAAGGACCATCCAAACTTTAGAAGACATGCTGAAAGAATGTGTTTTGGATCTAGGGGTAGTTGGTAGTCATACATACCCCTAGTAGAATCCACATATAATAACAGCTTCCAAGCAACTATCGAGATGACACCGTACGAAGCTATCTATGGTAGAAGATGTAGGTCCCCTGTTCATTGGGATGAAGTCAGGACAAAGAGAGTTTTGGGACCAGAAATAGTTGAAAGGACAGTTGAGACAATCAATAAGATTCGTGCAAGGATAAAGGCAGTACAAGATTGATAGAAGAGCTATCCGGATACAAGGAGGAAGGATTTAGAATTCAAAGTTGGAGAAAAAGTGTTTCTGAAAGTGGCACCAATGAAAGGTGTACTTAGGTTTGACAAGAAAGGAAAGCTATGACCCCGCTATATCGGACCATTCAAGATACATGATAGGGTTGAAAATGTAGCCTATCGATTAGCTCTCCCACCTGGATTATCGGCAACGCACAACGTGTTCCATGTATCAATGATCAAGAAATACGTGCATGATCCTAATCATGTAGTGAACTATCAGTCCATGGAAGTACAAAAGGACTTATCCTATGAAGAGTTACCAATTAGGATATTGGATCGAAAGGTGCATAAACTAAAGAACAAAGAAATTCAATTGGTTAAAATACAATGGAATAATCATGAAATAAAAAAGGCCACTTGGGAAGGGGAAGGGGAAGAGGAAGCCAAAAATAAGTATCCAACACTATTCGCCCAATCAGAAGGTAAATTTTGATGAGGAAATTTTAATTAAGGTGTGGGGGATGTAGAACCCCAAATAATTTTAAACACCTTAGTGGCACTAAGACATGAATATTGGATGGCTAAAGTATACTTCAGATTTTTAGTCTCATTTGAGACCCATTTACGACATCAAAGTTGGCGCAAACACTGACACTTCCGTCGCTCAATCTTTCTGCTAATTTTAAAGCGACGTTGAAAGCTGTCCATTCCGAGATTCTCTCTTTGCTGGCCAAAAATGTTGAACTGAAGGCCAAAAGTACTCAATATCTTCGTGTTGTATCTGAAAGAGAGTCTCTGCTTCTGGAGATCAACAAAGCTGAGGACGAATTGAAAGAAATCTCTTCCGAAGTTATGATTGAAGACTCTTTGATGACCAGTTTGGCTGCACAGATGAAGGTGCTTCAAGCAAGGATGGACGACTGCAAGGCGAGAATGGCTGCTAAAAAACATAAAACCTCCCAAGGAATTGAGCTAATCAAGTCTTTGGTCGAGCAGTACAAGAAGATGGAGGTTGATGATGATTTTGTGGCTGAATTGAATGTCACTTCTTCTCAGCAGAGCGAGGATTGGGGGAGACTTAGGGAAAGAATTCGTTCAGTCTAGGGCGAATTGTAATTAAGACATCTAATGCCTTAACTTTTCTTTTTGTAACTTCGTATTAATTTTTCCCTTGTAATCTCGTACTGATGTCCATTGGTAATTCTGAACATACCAGCAGCCATTATCATTAATGAATGATTAATTTGTCTTCTTGTGTATTTATTGACGTTATCTTTAATCGTCAACCCCCCAAACATTTAACTGCTTTATGCTAAGATTCACGCACATTTTTCTCTTGGTATTTCTGTCTCTTTTCTCAAGACTTCGGGCCATTTGATTCCAGTTACTAGGCACGAATGTGGCTGTTCATATTCTCTCTTCACCTTCACGCCTCTATAAATGTACTTATATTCCACACCTGTCATTTTCATTTCCATTCTCTTCTTCAAAATAAATTTGCTGCCATTGTTTGGCATTCGGACAATCAATCCAAAACCTTCATCTTCCATAAAGATGGATTGTTTGGTCCGCCCATTTTACTACTTGTCTTTATATCACCTTTGGTATGGGAGATATAGGAAATATTTTTTGGCCAGCAGCGAAGTTTTTCCCATCAAAGTTCTTCCCATCGTAAGGAGCTTCAAGCAAGGATGGACGACTGCAAGGCGAGAATGGCTGCTAAAAAACATAAAACCTCCCAAGGAATTGAGCTAATCAAGTCTTTGGTCGAGCAGTACAAGAAGATGGAGGTTGATGATGATTTTGTGGCTGAATTGAATGTCACTTCTTCTCAGCAGAGCGAGGATTGGGGGAGACTTAGGGAAAGAATTCGTTCAGTCTAGGGCGAATTGTAATTAAGACATCTAATGCCTTAACTTTTCTTTTTGTAACTTCGTATTAATTTTTCCCTTGTAATCTCGTACTGATGTCCATTGGTAATTCTGAACATACCAGCAGCCATTATCATTAATGAATGATTAATTTGTCTTCTTGTGTATTTATTGACGTTATCTTTAATCGTCAACCCCCCAAACATTTAACTGCTTTATGCTAAGATTCACGCACATTTTTCTCTTGGTATTTCTGTCTCTTTTCTCAAGACTTCGGGCCATTTGATTCCAGTTACTAGGCACGAATGTGGCTGTTCATATTCTCTCTTCACCTTCACGCCTCTATAAATGTACTTATATTCCACACCTATCATTTTCATTTCCATTCTCTTTTTCAATACCAATTTGCTGCCATTATTTGGCATTTTGACAATCGATCCAAAACCTTCGTCTTCCATGGAAATAGATCATTTGATCCATCCATTTTGCCATCTTTTTTTATGTCACCTTTGGTATGGGAGATATAGGAAACATTCTTTGGCCAGCAAAGTTCTTCCCATTGTCTCCATGTTCCTTACAAGGAGTTCGATGATGGAAGACAATTTTTGAGGATGCCTGCAAGCCACCTTGCTTGCTGAGAGTGCTTCTCAGCCTTCTTGCCCATTCTTGCAGCGATGCATTTAGGAAGGCGATATGAGGGTGCTTCTTCTTCCCTTCTGCTTGCTGAGAGTGTTTCTCGGTCTCTCTGCTTGCCTTTGCAGCAGTGCGATCAGGATGGAAATCAAGACTAGTTCACCCTCTTACTCGGCAATCAACTGGGAGATCAGTTCACTCTTAATCATAGCTTATAGAGCATTTAGTATTTTGTATTTTGCAACTTTGTAATGAACGTTTGATAATAAAGAAATTTATTTGAACGTATTTCACTCTGGCCCTTTTTTATCTACGATCGTTCAACGCGATTTGGTTACGCTTTTATTTGTTCACTTTCCCATAAGGTAGGAACATATTTTTTTTAAATATTTGCCATTAATGAACCTCATATTCTTGATGCCATCTAAATCTTCCAAATGATAGGCTCCATTAGGCAACACATTATTTACTTTATATGGCCTTCCCAATTTGGTGACCACTTGCCATACTTTGGATCCTTGCCATCCAAAGGGAGTATTGTTTTTCAAATCAATTCACCCAGGCTGAACGACTTAGCTATAGCTTTTTTATTATAGAACTTAGCTATTCTTCATTTTTAAACTTGCAATCTATCTAGGACGTCCAACTTTAATTTGTCCAACTCCAATAAATTTTGAACTAGTGATTCGGTATACTCATCATCACTTAACTTATGTTGCAAACACACTCTGATCGATTGCACGTTAATTTCCATAGGCAAAACGGCCTCTTGTCCATAAGTAAGTTGGAAAGGAGCGATTTTGGTACTTGACCAAGGCGACGTTCTATAAGCCCATAAGGCTTTGTTTAGACATTCGTGCTAATTCCTGGCGTTTTCATCTATTATTTTCCTTATGATATTTTTTAGAATCTTATTAGAAGATTCTTCTTATCTGTTGGATTGAGCGTAATATGGTGTGAAGTTCACTAATTTAACTCCAAACTCACTCAAGAATTTATTCACTCGATCCCCATTTAAAGATGTTCCGTGATCTACCATCAAAATTTATGGAATTCCAAATCTATAAATAATATGATCACGAATAAATTCTATGACATTTTTTTGGGTGATTTCCTTTAAAGGTATCGCTTCTACCCACTTAGTGAAATAATCAGTTGCAACTATAATAAAGGTATGTTACTTGGACGATGGGGGATAAATCTTCCCTATCAAGTCTATCGCCCAACCCTTAAACGGCCAAAGTTTGATAATAGGTGTCATCTCTCGTGCTGGCGCCCTTTGTATTGGACCATACTTTTGGCATGCTACACAACTCTTTACATACTGAACGCATGATTCTCCCATCTTTGGCCAAAAATATCCATTCCTAATAATTAACCTTCTCATCCTTTGGCCAGCTTGTTGAGCTCCACATATCCCTTCGTGCACTTTAACCATGATCGTTCTGACTTCTTGCAAACTTACACATTTTAGCAATATACCATCAGAGTGTTTCTTAAACAACTCTTCATCTATCAGTGTATAGTATAGCAAACACAACTTTATTTTTCTACTATCTACTTTATTAGGTTCTTTAAGGAACCTTTTAATCTCTGCCCTCCAATCTATTGCATCTCCATCTTGTATGCAATGAATTTCAATCGTTCTCGCCCTTCTTTGGATCATGGGCAATATTGTTCCATACTCACAAGTAGACTTCCAATATAAAACCTTTGAGTACCCTGAGGCCATCTGGGCCAATTCGTTTGCTACGTCATTATATATCCTATTAACATATTGAAGCTCTATTTAGTCGAATTCTTCCAACAACTCTTGGCCGATTTCATACTGATTTATAATGGAATCACTTTGGCATTTAAAATCACCAATCAATTGGTGAATTACCAATTGAGAATCGCCTCTAATGATCACATTCTTTACCCCTATATCTATCATTAATTCTAGGCCCATGATTAAGGCTTCGTACTCGGCCTGATTGTTGGTGCACATCCTGTCCAAAGTGAATGCGAACTTGTAACAAATCCCTAAAGGATTTATCAATGCTACTCCTACTCCTGCACCTTCAGAGGTTTTCGATCCATCGAAATATAAAACCCAAGGTTTTAATTCGAATGGATTGATTTCTAACTCAATTTCTTCAGGCATATCAAGGCATGGATGATCGGCCAGAAAGTTACCCAAAGCCTGATTTTTGACTGCCTTTTGGGGCATGTATTGTATTT